GCCACACACACTGCATGAACTCTGCAAGCCTTGGCTATGGTCATGAGGATAGTTCCCACTAAGGTGCGTGCCTGCGCAGCCACACACAAAAAAATTCTTCCCCCACCCACCTCTTCTGGAAAGCCGGGCTGCAGCACTTGCTCAGAAGGTGGCTTCTCAGTGGGGCCGGCTGAGATGGTGTGGTGAAAGAGCCACTGAAGCGGGGAGCCGGGAGGGCGGAACATACCGCAGCCATGTGGTGGGAGGCCTGCTTCAGTGGTCGGAGACACCACGTGGCAGGGGAGACCAGGACCTGTTCTGGCATGTTGTGCTGGAAATGGGGCCTGCTACATGGCCAGAGAGGGGGCAGGGTATTCTCCAGCAGCCTGATGTGTACATTCATAAATTGTGTACCATGGTGGCAAACATCCAGATCAGCAGACATGACCTCAATATTGGTGCACAAGTCAAAATTCACTCCACTCATAGCTGGAAAATCTTAGAGGGAATGCTGCTCATGACAACTGAAGAAATGGTTCTGTGGGAAAGATAAAACAGGCCCAGCCTATATTACCTTTCCCAGATAACTTCCACAAAGGAGAAAAGGGAAACAGTTACTCTCTTGCCCTACCCCACCCAGTGAGGAGTATTTTGCCATCCTGTCCCCCTTTCTATGCCTCCCTCCCCTCACAGACACTAACATTGCCAAACACCTCCGGGTGTGGGAGCAGAAGGATGTTTCAATAGAAGTGGATCCCTCTCCCAGCACATACCTATTCCACCTGGGAGTCCATTCATATTCAGATCCAGAATGCAGGAGATGATCTTTGGAGTGGAATAAGAAGGACCAAACCTCTTCTCTCTAAAATCCATCCTAAAATTCCCTTGGAATTCTATTGAGAATCAGTTCAAGCCCACAAAGTGAACTAAGTAGAATACACCTAAGCCAGAGCAAAGCTTTTTTTTCTGTATTCTAAACACTGTGTAGAAACAGCTTGTCATTTGTATCATAGCTGGTGACAAAACCACTGTTAGTTTCTGCTTTTCAGAATTTTGTATAAACATTTCAGTCACTTTTCCTTATTTCAGCATCTAAATTTTGCTTTATTCATGTTTCAATTAAATAGCTATTTTCTTCATAGCACAACAAACCTGAGAATATTCAAATTTCCTCTATGAAAATCATCTTTGCTTGGAAAATGGACCCATTATCATGTAGGTAGTTTTTTGTTTCCAATTTTTCTTGAAATTTTCATGTACCTTAGATCCACTTGCTAGGAAAACAGGCACTGTTTTGGATGAACAAAATGCTATGAATTACACATTGTTTTTTATTTTGCCGAAAATATTTCCACATTACTCCAGCCACAGCCAGTGAAAATATATTTTTACATTTTCTTTGAAAATCATTTTGTACGAATGACCTATACAAAGGGGCTAGAGATCTAGCCACTCAATTCAGAACCAGCTAAGTCTCACAGTGAGTATAGTGGAATGACAGCTGCTCACTGTATCACTGTTAGAAAGACACATTCTGACTGACTCAGAGGATGCAATTGTTCTGTGCTTCAGTGAACCACAAAGTAAATTCTTCATAAGTGTTCAGTTAGAAAAACAAATTGTCCAGGGACGTCTGAAAAAGCTTTTCCCTATTTTTTCTTTCCAGTTGGGAGCATAATATGAGGGAGAATACTATTACAACATATTTCTCTAGTGCATAGGAATATGCTCAGTGTCTCCCAAAGCAAATTAAGACATTCTCTTGAAATAAAGGTAATGTGAGACAAAGGAGGGTCATAAAGGACACAAGGAAAGTGAAGAAGAAGAAGGAAGCTGACAATAGGAAGGAGCAGTTATCTAATAAACGTTTGATCCTCTTCCTACTGTTATTAGTGACAAATCTCCATTGGACAGACTGTGAACCCTTTGTTCCCACTGATAAATAGTGACTAGCGCAAGACATCCAGACATCAATAGTACCGCTTGTGAAAGCAATTGCACAATAGGGCACCAACTGACTGTCATGGGAGTAGGATCAGGCACTAACACCCTGATGGTTCTGTCCCTTGTTTGTTCTTTGTTACTGAGGTAGTTAATAAGTTCTGATCTCAGCTAACAACCTGACAATTACGTTCTGGACCCGATTCTCCTATTACAATAATGCAATCAGGAGTAACTCCACAATAGTCAGTGGAATACAGCAGTATAAAATTATTGTCAGTAAGGCCGTGTCCAGACTCAGGGGTTTTTTCGGAAAAAGTAGCCTTTTCCCGAAAAAACTTCCCCTGCGTCCAGACTCAAGCCGCGTTCTTTCGAAATTATTTCGAAAGAACGCGGCTTTTCTTTCGATGGTGGTAAACCTCGTTTCATGAGGAAGAACGCCTTCTTTCGAAAGTTCCTCTTTCGAAAGAAGGCGTTCTTCAATGTAAAGAGGGCGTCTTCGAAAGAGAGCATCCAGACTCACTGGGTGCTCTCTTTCAAAAAAGTGGATTTCTCTTTCGAAAGATCCGCCTGCAGTCTAGACGCGATCTTTTGAAAGAGGCTCTTTCAAAAGATGCTTTCGAAAGAGCCTCTTTCGAAAGAAGCCTGCGAAAAAGTGGTTTCTTAAGATTATCAGGTCAATTGGTTGGATCCTTAGCAGCCAATCATAATGAAATCTAGATCTAATCAGTTTATACAATAACTTTTCTACTAGCTTTATGCTCATATTAAGCAAAAATAAAATGTGTTGGAATGTATAGGAATGAGAGTTCTAAATCTATGTTACATAAGCTTTATAATCTTTTCCCATTTTTCCTTCATCACCATATTATGGTAAAATTATCTGTATGGTCAGGTTAATCATAGAACATAGGAATTGTTAAATCAACACAAACCAATGGTCTATCCAGTCCAGTATTCTGTCCATTGCCAGTCACCAAAAGCATCAGAGGAAAGTAAAAAGACCTACCTGGTTTTGTAATATTGTACTATTGAGGGATTTTTCTTTTCAATCCCATCCAAATGATCTTCTTAATCCTGAAGCATGAAGATAGATAACCCTATAATTTGTCTCTACCCTGGCATAATTGCAGGTGCTATTATTACTATGCATGTAAATACCTGAACTTGTTATGAAAATGTAGGAAGCGATATTCTTCAATAACATCCTTTAGAAAAAAGGTTCTAGAGATTAATGATTTTTTTTTTTGAAAAAGTGGTTTCTTTCAATCCATTTAAAATTTTCCACTTTTGGTTTTCATTGAATGCCTGAAAGTGGACTTGGTAATCAAGGTGTAACGATGAAGCTGAACCATTGATTAATAAAATAGCAGCACAATATGTTCCTCATTAAACTCTATCCCCTTCACAATACAGCCTAGCACCTAGTTTGTTTTTTTCAGCCATTGCTGTGAATTTGTGCCGCTTCGCTGTTGTAGCTCCATGACCACTTGATCTTTTTTTCTGTGCATTATGTAACTTGGAATCATCAATATGTAGGTAGCTTAAACTGTGCCAGACACTGCACTAATCGCCTATCATACACTGAATTACTGTATTGCTAGCTAACAGGACTCAGATGACCTAGTACATCATGCAAAACTGTCCACCTATTGAGGGGAATAAGGGACTCCCTAGACTTTTTTATTGCATGATGTGCATAGCCTCCCTTATATGGCTAGCAATATTTTTCCTACAAAATACCAGAGTCTCCAGGAATTTCTGTGATGAAAAAGAGAGATTTAATAAATGTCTCTCCACAATAGTCCACAAAATATTTTGTGCTTTGTGTTAATGGCTTTATGTTTACATACTACATTATTTTATTTCACTATATCAGAAAATACAGGATATAAGCTAAAAATACCTAAGTAGTGTAAAGCAGAATGTCATTCAAGGACTTAATCTGAGAGCCTTAGTATTATTTAGTTTACATTCCTATTTATGACCTTTTAACAATATCATAATTGGATGGTTCTATTAGTTGACACAGAAATAGTACAAGTATATTTTAACAGTTATTCTGAATCTACTGCTACCAAGAGATGTATTTTCTTTCAGTCTTTGCTAAACTGTCATGAGACCTGTTCTTTCAGCTAGAAAATAAGTGTCAGATTCATGATTAGATGAGGACACTTAATTTAAAAATAAGTTTGCTGGGAGCTAGTCCTTTTATCTTATGATCAATTAATTATATTTTTGAATTTGTCATATTAAAACAAATACTATCAACTTAAAATAAGTTGTGAATGAAAGCTTTTCTTTACTTGTGTTACAAATAACACCTTAGATTATTAAAGTGAAAGAAATTGTATAGCTCCAGTTTGTCACTGTTTATGCTCTTTTGTCTCTATTGTTTTGCCTTCTCTCAGCATGGACAATGAAAAATCAATGCATTCACATTCTATGTCATAGTTAGGTTCACCTTGCTTATTGCTGATGTTCCTACGATTGGGTTTAAGATACTGCAGGGGAATATTTATTTGTTCAGCACCAACAGTTTCCTTTGGGATTTTTTATTTCTGTTGTGCAGAAAGGCTCATAAGTACTATAAAAGCATATTTTTTAAAATGGACTAAATTGAGTGTTCATTTGCCATCTCTTATTATGTAAGATCAAGAAAAAGGAGTAAGATGAGTTAAATATAGTCCAAAGCAATAGAATTAGCCTGCACTGTTAACAATTTTCATTCTCCAGGACAGTGTCTCCTTGAGTGTCTTTGTTCCTTTAACATAAAAAAGAAGTGATATTTGAAAGCTTTTGCTTACAAAGGACTGAATTTCTTTTATTCATTGATTTCTTCCTTTCACTTTAGTAAAGAATTATTTTGAATGCAGATGATAAATGATAATATTTGTTTTCCATCTTTGACCTTTCTATGCATTCACTGACTTAAAAGGTTTAACCTTTACTTGAAAAGCCATGTACAGATCTAATGGGATCTTCAAGGAAAACCAGGTATAGTGTCCTGCTATATAGTTGCACACTGTAACCTTTAGTTCAGAGCCATATTCTAAGGTCACTTTAAGCACAGTTATTACCTGCATTTGGGATACAGTCAATGGATATCGAAATAATATCCAGGTAACACTTTCACTGCAAGGTGGAATGGTAAGGGAACCCTCATATACCCAATAATCACGTAGAAGAGGATCTGAAATTAAAAGGATTATTTAATGTTAAAGTCGTATTTAGGAGTTTCTATGCACAGCTTTTATTATACTAATTTAAACCCTACTCTACTCTGCTCAAGAATCTAAGCCTGCTAAAATCTATAAAAATGGTTATAGTTATCCCTGTATTACTGATGCGAAAAAAAAAGTTCAGAGAGCATACCTCTTTAGTCACACAGCAAATGTATAACGGAGTGGAAAATCAATCAGGGCCAACTGGGTCACCAGCCACTGGCCCGGGAAGAGCCAGGACAGCCTCCCTCCACTCTAGGTCCTGCCTCTCTCTGTTTCACCCCCTCCTTATACTTTCTCTGCTCCTGCCCCCCCCCAACAGATATGGCCCAGAGGGAACAGGGGTCTGGTGCTGGGAACAATGATCCAGCTCCCCCTGCATTCGCCAGCAGCAGGGGGAAGCAGAGCAAGGAAACCCCAGCTCACGCTGCTCCCCCAACCACATCACAGAGTGTGGTGAGTATGGGGACAGTCCAGGCCCCTTCTCTGAGCGCCGCACCAGGAGAGTAGAGTGCACTGGGCACATATTGCTTCACTTTTGCTGCCAGTGAGTGCACAGTGGGCACCAGTCCCCCCTCCCTCCCTGCTAGCACCCCCAGATGTCCAGGGACTCTTACCCCACCAGCTGCTGGCTGGCCTCTTGCCCGTCCCACTCTCGGTGTTTGAGAGTCATGTGTCCCTTTTCCGCCCACTTGTCACGCCTGAAACAGTTTTCTAATCTTTTGATTCCCTGGTCCTCTGCTCTAAGCCTTAATAAGTTCTGAGGACTCCCTTAACTAGACTGTGCATAACCCTGATGTTTAAAAGGGGAAATGGGAGAATTAGTTCCTTTCTTGGGGTCGGGAAGGAATTTTCCTCCAGGATAGATTGGCAGAGGCCCTGGAGGTTTTTTGCCTTCCTCTGTAGCATGGGGTACAGATCACAGCTAGAGGATTCTCTGCATTTTGGGGTCTTCAAAGTATTTGAAAGCTTCAATATCTGAGATATAGGTGAGAGGATTATTCTAGGAGGGGTGGGTGAGATTCTGTGGCCTGCACTGTGCAGGGGGTCAGACTAGATGATCATAATGGTCCCTTCTGACCTTAAAGTCTATGAGTCTTGTAGCCTGCTCAAAGGAGATCAGACACAGTTTCAGGCCCTGGTGCAGCAAGGAGCTCAGAACTCTTTGCTGGATTGGGGTTTAAATTACTGAGCTCCTGCACTGACAGGGCTAAGAGCGGGCCTACCGACTGGGGGAAGGGACAACTGTCCCAGGACCTAGCGATTTTAGGGCCCAGGGTTCCTGGGCACCACCACCGCTGGTGCAGCAGCTGCGGCAACCAGAGCCCCGGGCTCTTCAAACCACCACCAGAGTGCTGTGCTGTGCACTCTGTTAGGCTCTAAGGGCTGGGGGCTCCTTTCACCCGAGGTCCCACTCCGTGCAGGAGCATTGAGCCCAGCTCACCCTCCCCCACACCTGGCTGCCAGCTCCCCTGGCCAAAAGATGTAACAGAAACCCCATGAGGAGGAGCAGGCATGGTCAGGGCTGTACTATTCCCTCCATATCCACACGAGCATCTTGGCCATCATGAGGGAGAACACTTGCTGCACTCCGTGATGGTGCCAATGTTTGCATTCTCCGAGTTCTCTTCGGGCATTGTTCCACTGCAGACATCCTCACCTTCACGCCACCTGGGTATTGGCTTAAAGCCGCAATCTGTCCTTAATTTTAGGCAAAGCTGGTAGGCAAGGGTCTTGCGGAAAAAAATAGTATGTGAGTATGTAGTTAAAATCTGTATCATAATTCACATGCATCAAGGGACTGAATTAAGGTTGCATTTGCAGCCTTAATTCTGGCATTTCCTATTTTTGGAGTGCTTTACTTTCCAACCTTAGTTCTTTTAATGTCGTTTTCTGTCTGTGGTGTGGAAAGAGACTGTCATGATGGTATGGAACTTGGCATGGAGGCAGCCCTTATAATGGAGGCTTTGTTCAGGAGGAAGTGGTAGAACTGGTCAAAAAAGAGGTCAAATTTTCATGACACCCTGTAGTGAGGTTGATTACACTTAATTTGCTGTGTGACTCTGTTATCCATGTGTGTTACAGATAGAGCATGCTTTCCATTGACATCAAGTCCCAGGGATCTGTGGGAATTCTTTATCCAACTTCGTACAATAGTTGCTTAGAAATACAGCCATATATAAGGAATTACTAATGTCTACCTTCTGCAGTGTGGAAGAGTAGAGTGCACTGCACAAAGATAACACATAATTTTCCTTCCAAACTCCC